ACAGAGCCCCGCTCTTGGAATGGGAAGGAAATTGAACACTTTTTAATACTTGACCTCCTTTCCCTGAATGAAGTGGTTTGAGGGGCAGTATGGAGTAGCAGAAGGAATAGTTTTAATGCTTTTTTAATAAATGAAAGGCTTTACACCTGCACATACACTATGGAGTATGTTTTGGGAGAGGTTTGAAAAGATATAAGGAAGAAAATTATTAGTGAGACTTGGTGTTGGTCCTGGTTACAAGCCAGAGAAATGAAATTAAAAGTTTGGTCCATGAGTTTGAACATTTGATTTTCAGAGGCTGGAGGAAAAGAGGTGAAGACAGATATGGATGTAGATATCTTTATTTTTGAGTTTAAATGTGAGAAAATTCGTGCCTAGTCCCTTCAGTTTTTTGCTGAGAGGTAAGATATAAGGGAGAAAAAATATCTTTTCTTGACCAACCTCAAGAGTCACGATGGGCATTACTGTGACAAAAGAGAGATTAACAAGAGAAAAGCATAATGAATGTATTTAACCCACTTTTGATGTGACACAGCCGTCAGACATAAAGACTGTGCCCAGGGAAAAGTGCATTTTTATCAACAGTAGTTGGAAATAAGAGTGAAGAACAAAAAGGTAATACCTAATGGTAATAACCTGGGAAGAACTCGGCGAGGCCTGTTTGTTCAGATTCTTCTTGGCCTTTATGACCTGCTTTCAGAAAATATAGGTCAGAGATCTTTTTTTTCTTTTTGTTTTTCTTTTTTTTTTTTTTTTTTTTTTGAGACAGAGTCTTGCTCTGTTGCCAGGCTGGAGTGCAGTGCTGTGATCTCAGTTCACTGCAACCTCTGACTCCCTGGTTCAAGTGATTCTCCTGTCTCAACCTCCTGAGTAACTGGTATTACAGGCGTGAGCCACCGCGCCCATCTAATTTTTGTATTTTTTTTTTTTTTTTTTTTTTAGTAAAGATGGGGTTTAACATGTTGGCCAGGATGATCTCTATCTCCTGACCTTGTGATCTGCCCACCTCAGCCTCCCAAAGTGCTGGGAGTACAGGTGTGAGCCACCACATGCAACCCAAAGATTTTTTTTTATGACCATGCTTCAGAGGCAAAAGTTGGGAGAAGGTTATGATGTAAGCTCTAAGGTGCCATATTATGGAGTAGCATGTTCTGAGCCCCAGTGAATACAAGTCCATCTTCTAAGACAGTTGTGGAGGAATAAGAATTGGGATTTGAAGAGAGTTGTGGGTGTTTGGGAAATCTATTATTAGGGACAGGAAAAGTTTCTTGGCAGCAGTGAGTATCCAGCTATGGTTGAAAACTGTGAATGTGTATTTGTATCAATATGCCTGGTTGTGTTATTTCTCTGCTAGTACAGAATAGTCTAGAGGTAGAAAAGGGATCAGAAAGAGCCAAACATGAAGTTCTGCAGGGGAAGCTGCAATAGAAGAAACTAAATATGAAGACATAGGATCTGATGAGATGGTTAGAGGGACTCACGTGAAGGTTCCAGAGAGAGGGAAGCAAAGCCATGGAGTGAATGAGAGGTCGGTGGGGAAAGAATGTTGAAGGTTTCTGTGAGGTAGAAGAGCAGTTCTTGGAGTAAGGAGGTTAGGGAATTTGAAGAAAATGAGTGAAATATCTGCACAGGGGATCTATATAGGTGTTCTGGATAAGGGATCAGCAAACTTTTGCTGTAAAAAGCAAGATAGGAAATGTTTTCAGCTGTGCATGCCATTTCAGCTTTGCAGGCCATCATTTTTGTTACAATTTCTCAACTCTCCTTAAAGCATGAAGGCAGTCATAAACAATAAGTAAACAAGTGGACATGGCTGTGTTTCTGTAAACCTTTTTAATGGAATAAGTGGTAGGCCAGATTTTTCTCAGCAGCTGTAGTTTGCTAACCCCAGTCATAAATAATAACTTCCAAGATGTGGAAAAAGTTAAGCAGAAGCAAAGAATTAGAAATCAAGGGGCTAAGAAGCTTCACAATATGTATACTGACTAAAGCCATCTAGGTAACGCTTGTTGAGAATCCATTTGAGGCTGGTGATCATGAATTATAGAAGAGCTACTCAACTGCTCTGTGTGATCCCTTCAGCGACATTTGGCTGTAAGGGTGAAGTCACAGAAAAGGTAAATGTTTGCATTCATATAGGGCAGGATTTTTGCTAGATGGGTATAATGGAATGATAGAGGAGAAGGGAAATTTAGGATATTGAAATGATGGGTAGTGGTCAGTAAGCTAAAGAAAGGATAAAACTGATAATAGAGAGCAAGTAGAGGGGTTAGTAACTGGTGGTCATCAGGAGGTCTAATACCCAGATCAGCTTCATGGGGGCAGTGACTCGGTTTTGTTCTCTCACATGTCCCAGCACCTAGAGTAGGGCCTGGCACACAGTAGGTCATAGGAAGATCATTTAATAAGTAAGCAGGAAAAGTGGGAAGTTGGTGTCATGCTTAAGTAATGGAGGTAGTCATTTGTTATGAATGACGTCTCATATGTTTGAAATGTACACACAAGAAGTTCTCAGTAATACCCTTTATTGTTTTGCTTTTTGGACTTTTATAGGGCTACATATTTTCAGATAAATAAAATTGAGAATAATTTCTCTGCAAATGGGTGAGTTGACCTTTCCCCAATGAATATCATTTAAGGCCACTGAAACGGTTAGCACTGTTTAATTTCATATGGACAGAATACACAAATAAAATACTAGTAGAAATTATCTCCCTTTCCAAATTAGCCTAGTCTGGTTCTCAAAGCCAGACACTCAGGGTACTTACTTCTAAAGCCTTCAATTGTTTGGGTTAGCATGCTTATCACAGGTGTGGAAAATTTTATATTTACATTACTGAATCACCCCTCAGTACATTTGAATGGCTTCTCTTTTGCTTTTTGTCTAGGGCTGAAGTCTCATTCAACAATAGGGGTGACTGTCTACCTCAGGAAGAGTTTACAGGAGGAAGCTGAAATGATAACAAATCTAAGTTTTAAACCAGGCCAGTTGTGTTAGTCTGTTTTTATTGTTATAAAGGAATACCTGGGACTGGATGATTTATAAAGAACAGAGGGTTAATTGGCTCATGGTTCTGAAGGCTGTACCGGAAGCATGGTGCTGACAACTACTTCTGGTGAGGGCTTCGGGAAGCTTATGGTGGAAGATTCAGGTGGAACAGACACCTCACATAGTGAAAGCAGGAGCAAGAGAGAGAAGAGGGAGGTTCCAGACTTTTTAACAACCAGATCTCATGTGATCTGAGTGAGAACTCACTCATCGCCAAGAAGATGGCACTAAACCATTCATGAGGGATCTGCCCCCACGATTCAATACTCCCCACCAGGTTTTACGTACAACTTTGGGCATGACAATTCAGTGGAAGATTTGGAAGGGACAAATATAAAAACCATATCACCAGTGCGTTCACATTTAGTTTAATGAATCAAAGGAGTATTTTGATTTTGAACATTAAGAAATATTTTTTCTTGGGAGGCCGAGGCGAGTGGATCACGAGGTCAAGAGATCGAGACCATCCCGGTCAACATGGTGAAACCCCGTCTCTACTAAAAATACAAAAAATTAGCTGGGCATGGTGGCATGTGCCTGAAATCCTAGCTACTCAGGAGGCTGAGGCAGGAGAATTGCCTGAACCCAGGAGGCAGAGGTTGCGATGAGCCAAGATCGCGCCATTGCACTCCAGCCTGGGTAACAAGAGCAAAACTCCATCTCAAAAAAAAAAAAAGAAATATTCTTTCTTAGTCTTTTCAGACAACTCATATGTCTTTTGGATGTCTTTTTCAGATGACATGCTTCTCCTTTCACAACCTTAGTATCCTTAGTATCATTACTTGTACACAGTAGACATTTCATAAGTGTGTGCTGACTGATCTTTAATGACAACATAAGCAGTTCTCTGAAATGCCCTTTGCTCTATCTCTTTGCCTGCTAAATTTCTTTTATGATTTGGTTCCAATGTCACATCTAAAATGGTTCCCAGCTCTCATAGTTAAAATGAATCGGCCCCTGTCCCAGGTAGCTCATACCCAGTTTCCGAAACATTGTCATTGTTCTGTTTCTCATGCTTGCCTTTTATCTACAAAACAGCATGGATTTTGTCTTATTCATCTTTAGTATCTCTGGCACCTTGAATGTGCTTGCCATCTGTAAAATGCTCTGGAATTTTTGTCTGAAAATGACTGTGACAGGGAGAAAACTCATTATATAAGCATGATGTTGATGTAGGCTTTAGTTGGCAAACCTTGCCCTCTAGACGTTTTTGCTTCTTCAAAATTTTTCTTCAGTGAGAATACTGCTGTCAAATGAGCAAGTAGTGATCAGTTATGAATTTGGGATCCAGTTAGCAGATGTGATTCGATGATAGTCTTTGTTCCTATACCTTCTTCTTTTAAATTAAGAATAATACGTCATTGACACTGAGTACATGTTTGCTGAAAGCACAGATTTCACCAAGATGTTAACAATGGCCATATTTGAGTAGTAGTATTTTAAAATTTTTTTTAGACATAATGTTTTTCATTGTTTGAATTTTCTTATTCAGGATATGTATTGGAAAAGAAACTATTTTTATTTTTTAAAATAGGTGGTGTATGAGGTAGACAGTTAAGAGAAATGAATGCTTTGATGCAACTTGGAACAGTCAGGGCTGGATCACACTGTGTCAGTCTATAGTTTGGTAACAAATCTCAGTGGTATAGGAAAGCAAAAGTTTATTTGTTCCGGATTGATGGAGACTCTTCTAATTCAACCTCTCAGATTGAAGCCTCCTTCAGCTCAAAGTGGCTTCCAAAGTTGCTGTGGCCAAAATAGGGAGAATTTGAAGAGACAAGCCAGCTCTCACCTGGCTCAGCGCATGTCAGTTTCCTTGGCCAAAACAAGTGCCAAGGCCCCAGGCTTACTGCTCAAGAGAGTGGAAAATGCAGAGAAGCACATGGAATCCAGTATATGGTGAGCACCAGTTGTCTCTGCCAACATAACTGTAACTCTTTTCATTTTTCAGCTACTGTAATGAATGTATGTTGGATCCAGACTGTGGTTTCTGCTACAAGATGAACAAATCCACTGTCATTGACTCCTCCTGTGTTCCAGTTAATAAAGCATCTACAAATGAGGCAGCCTGGGGCAGGTATATGACTCTTTTTACCATGCAAATATATAATAATGTTTTGAAATGAGGCTTAAGGTTAAGTTTTCAGAGTGCTTGCAGTTCTTTTAAACTGGGCTTGAAAACTACATTACTTTGCAGCATATACTGGTGATAGTGGATGAAAAGCATTGCAATTGTGTGTTTCACACAGAATAGAAAGCACTCAGGCCTAGACTTTTGGAGATCCAGATTTCCCTAATTAGGTATAGGAGTTTGGATCTTTAGTTTTAGGCAGGTGTTCCCGAATACTACCAAGACAATTTCTACCACTACATATTGTTTCATTACACTGTATTTCCAAACTCCCAATCTTTTAAATGAAAGAAAACTGTAAAGTCAAAATGAATTGCTATCACGTTAGGCAGGTGCGGTGCATCACGCCTGTAATCCTAACTTTGTGAGGCTGAGGTGGGCAGATCACTTGAGGTCAGGAGTTTGAGACAGGTGAAACCCCTTTTCTACAAAAATTAGCTGGGAGTGGTGGCACATGCCTGTAACCCCAGCTGCTCAGGAGGCTGAGGAAGGAGAATCACTTGAACCCAGTAAATAGAGGTTGCAATGAGCTGAGATGACACCACTGCACTCCAGCCTGGGCAACAGAGCGCTACTCCATCTCAAAAAAAAAAAAAAAAGAATTACTATCATGTTAAGTTCTTCGACAGAACTGTTTTTATATTCCTAGAGGCCTTATCCAGAGTTCAGTGAAATTAAGCAAAATAAGGATAAAGGTCAGTAATCACTGGCATATAACTAGGTTGGGAGGCTAGAAATCTTCATCTTTTTGGTTTGTACTAGATGCATAAATGAAATAGTAATATAAAATAAATATTCTGCAGATTTATGAACTAACATTTCTGTCCAGACATATAAAATGTGTAAATGTTGATACAGCTTTAACTTCTTTTGTGTTCTAAATTCCTATAATATGATCTTATCTTGTCTACTCATAGTACTGATAAAGGCAATGAAATCTGTAATAAAATATTGGGTCTCATAGGAGCTATAAAGTATAATGTAATAATTTTATTAGAGAACTGCTCAAAGAGAAAGTAAATTATATGTTGAGTGAAAATCCAGACCACATTTTAAATATATTAATTACAAAGAAATATGTTAAAAAATAAAATTAGTATTTTATTTATTTATTTATTTATTATACTTTAAGCTCTGGGGTACATGTGCAGAACGTGCAGGTTTGTTACATAGGTATACACGTGCCATGGTGGTTTGCTGCATCCATCACCCTGTCATCTACATTAGGTATTTCTCCTAATGTGATCCCTCCCCTATCCCCCACTCCCTGGTATCCCTCCCCTAGCCCCCTACCCCTGACAGGTCCCAGTATGTGATGTTCCCCTCCCTGTGTCCATGTGTTCTCATTGTTCAATACCCACTTATGCATGAGAACATGCATTGTTTGGTATTCCACTCTTGTGTCAGTTTGCTGAGTATGATGGTTTCCAACTTTATCTGTGTTCCTGCAAAGGACATGAACTCATCCTTTTTTATGGCTGCATACTACTCCATGGTGTATATGTGCCACATTTTCTTTGTCCAGTCTATTATTGATGGGCATTTGGGTTGGTTCCAAGTGTTTGCTATTGTGAACAGTGTGAAATAAACATATGTGTACACGTGTCTTTATAGTAGAGTGATTTATAATCCTTTGGGTATATACCTCGTAATGGAATTGCTGGGTCAAATGGTATTCCTAGTTTTAGGTCCTTGAGGAATCTCCACACTGTCTTCCACAATGGTTAAACTAATTTACATTCCCAACAACAGTATAGAGGCATTCCTATTTCACCACTTCTTCTCCAGCATCTGTTGTCCCTGATATTTTAATGATCACCATTCTGACTGGCGTGAGATGGTATCTCAATGTGGTTTTGATTGGCATTTCTCTAATGACCAGTAATGATGAGCTTTTTTTCATGTTTTTTGGCTGCATAAATGTCTTCTTTTGAGAAGTGTCTGTTCATATCCTTTGCCCACTTTTTGATGGGGTTTTTTCTTATAAATTTAAGTTCTTTGAAAGCCCTTTGTCAGATGGGTAGATTACAAAAATTTTTTGCTCATTCTGTTGGTTCCTGATTCACGCTAATGATAGTTTCATTTGCTGTGCAGAAGTTCTTTAGTTTATTAGATCCCATTTGTCTATTTTGGCTTTTGTTTCCATTGCTTTTGGTGTTTTAGTCCTTGTCATGCCTATGTCCTGAATGATATTGCCTAGGTTTTCTTCTAGGGTTTTTATAGTATAAGGACTTATGTTTAAAATTTTAATCCATCTGGAGTTCATTTTTGTATAAGATACAAGAAAGGGATTTAGTTTCAGCTTTCGGCATATGGCTAGCCAGTTTTCCCAACATCGTTTATTAAATAGAGAATCCTTTCCCCATTACTTGTTTTTGTCAGGTTTGTCAAATATCAGATGGTTGTAGATACGCGGCATTATTTCTGAGGCCTCTGTTCTATTCCATTCATCTATATCTCTGTTTTGGTACTGGTACCATGCTTTTTTGATTACTGTAGCCTTGTAGTATAGTTTGAAGTCAGCTAGTGTGATGCCTCCAGCTTTATTATTATTATTATTAGGATTGTCTTGGCTATGCAGGCTCCTTTTTAGTTCCATACGAAGTTTAAAGTGTTTTTTTTTTCCAATTCTGTGAAAAAAGTCAAGGTTGATGAGTATATCTTTGAATCTATTAAATTACTTTGGGCAATATGGCCATTTTTATGATATTGTGTCTTTCTAACCATGAGCATGGAATGTTTTTCCATCTGTTTATGTCCTCTCTTCTTTCCTTGAGCAGTGGTTTATAGTTCTCCTCGAAGAGGTCCTTCACATCCTTGTTAGTTATATTCCTAGGTATTTTATTCTCTTTGTAGCAATTGTGAATAGGAGTTTACTCATGATTTGACTCTCTGTTTGTCTATTACTGGCGTATAGGAATGCTTGTGATTTTTGTGCGTTGATTTTTGTACCCTGAGACTTTGCTGAAGTTGCTTATCAGCTTAAGGAGATTTGGGGCTGAGACAACGGGGTCTTCTAAATATACAGTCATGTTATCTGCAAATACACAGAATTGGACTTCCTCTTTTCCTAACTGATTACTCTCTACTTCTTTGTCTTGCCTGATTTCCCTGGCCAGAACTTCCAATACCATGTTGTTAGGAATGGTGAGAGAGGGTATCCTTGTCTTCTGCCAGTTTTCAAAGGGAATGCTTCCAGTTTTTGCCCATTTAGTATGATTTTGGCTGTGGTTTGTCATAAATAGCTTTTATTATTATGATATACGTTCCATCGATAACCTAGTTTACTGAGAATTTTTGGCCTAAGGGGCTGTTGAATTTTGTCAAAGGCCTCTGCATCTATTGAGATAATCATGTGGTTTTTGTCTTTCATTCTGTTTATTTGGTGGATTACGTTTACAGATTTGCATATGTTGAACCAACCTTTCAACCCTGGGATGAAGCCAACTTGATTGTAATGGATAAGCTTCTTGATGTGTTGTTGGATTCGGTTTGTCAGTATTTTATTGAGGATTTTTGTGTTCATGTTCATCATGGATACTGGCATGAAATTTTCTTTTTTAGTTGTGTCTCTGCCAGGTTTTGATATCAGGATGGTATCATAAAATGAGTTAGGGAGGACTCCCTCTTTTTGTATTCTTTGGAATAATTTCAGAAGGAATGGTACCAGCTCCCCTTTGTACCTTTGGTAAAATTTGGCTGTGAACACGTCTGGTCCCGGACTTTTTTTGGTTGGCAGGCTACTATATGCTGCCTCAATTTCAGACCAATGAAATAGATAGACTGCTAGCCAGACTAATAAAGAAGGAAAGAGAGAGTAAAAAATAATAAAGGGAATATCGCCACTGACCACACAGAATTACAAACTACCATCAGAGGATACTACAATTAGTATTTTAAATGAACACTCAAAACAGTTTTTTAAAAAAATACTTAATTTATAGCTTTCATAAGCCAAACTTAGTGAGTTAACTGATCAAATATTTCTAGATTACTAATTCATAGCTTTAAAACTTTAGTTTTGTTTTTGCCAATAGGAGGAAAAAAACTATGTTACTCCTAGTCTAGAATTATGAACATGTTATGAAATCTGTTAAAGAAATGTGTCATTTCCAGTATTTATATAATTAATTTATAAACTTATTAGTACTCTCTGTTAAATAATAAGGAAAGCAATAAATTCGATATTTCTCTTACCTTCAGTAGAAGGGTTAGAAGTTGGAGGCCTCAAAGCAGGAGTTTTGTTTTCTTTGTGAACAACAAATCATACAGATTTTTAGTAGAAATGTTTATTAATCCCTTTATTTCAGAAAGATTAATTTAACAGCTCACTCTTACATTTTATTTGTATTTTTATACCATCCATAACTGCACATAAATTAGAGAAAAGTAAGACACAGATAATAAAACTAAGTAGCAAAAATAAACATAACTTAAAACAAATGTTCACAGCATATTCTTAGAATAGTCTCAAACTCTTTACAAAAAAGAAAGAAAAGGCAGTCATGTTTTCTTACTCTTCCGTGTGCTGAACAACAGTGCTCCTTCTAGGTGAGCCACTGCTATTGGTTACCTCCTTAGTTTTGGCTAGAAAGGAGCAAAAAGGCAGGATGTGTTCACCACGAAAAATTCATCAGATAGATTTTTCACTTATAGGTAAAATAATATCCAGTATGTATGATAATCAGTAAATATTTTTGTTGATTGGTTGGTGGTTTGGTTGCTAGAGTTCATGGAATGGAACTCTAAGGGCAAAATCAGCCATTACCTTGGATTCACATCTAGAGATACACTATTTACAGATATTTCAAGGTCAAGTATTGAGGAAATTTATAGCCATGTATTCTGATCTCTAACTGTAGCTGTGTTTCCTGAAAAGACATGAGGTGGAATAGGAACCCCATTGATGATGGAAGTAGTATAATAATGTTGATGAACTCTGAAAT